CACACACACACACTTAGTTACCGATTAGCTGCTCTAATAGTGTTGCAAGATCTCTGGTCTCCCAAAAACATGTTCTTCCACCACTGTCAATTGTTCAGCTGCTGGCAGATCCGCAGAACTGGTTTGTGTTCATACTGAGGGCCCACATCTGTGTTGTTCTGAATACTTGCAGCATTCCAGAAGGAACTGGGTGGCAGGTAGCTGAGTCACCAGAGACCTCATATTATTACTACACCACTGAGATAGGGACTCGATCTCATTCTCAGCAATAAAAATATTCAGCAGGTGGCACAGGTTTCCTCACAACTCTGGAGAGCTGGGTTCGAGTCTTTGCCCCAGCTCTTCATGTGTGTAGTTTGCTTGTTCTCCCCATCGGGTCCACACCCCCACCCCCAAAGTCCACTAATGTGAACAGGAGCTGCCAAATTGTCCATAGATGTGTGTGTATCTTGCAGTGGTTTGGTGCCCCATCCTGGGTGATTCACACGCCTGTAGCTTCTGGGATTGGCTCCAGAGCCTCAGGACCCTACATAGAAAAAGCAGGGATAAGAGATTGATGGAGAATATTCAGCCGTTTCATAGAATGAAAATTTCAGTCACTCTGACCACAGAAATCAGTTGAGTAATGTAATAAATACGTCATCATCGAAAAGTCAGTATTTATCTCCATTGTCCCATGTCACTCTTATACTCATGAAAGATTGATTCTGCCTCAAAGCCAAAAGTCACGGAAGCCAGTTCCGGGGGAGGGGGGGGGAGTGTCTGGCACATACCTAAAAAAATTTTTAGAAAGAGAGGAGCCCGTCCAAAGGACTGTTGGCATTCTCTGCATCGATGAAACCATCTACACACAGCTGAGAGACGAAGGTGCGGCTCCGACAAACCGGCTTTCAGACGAGGACGACCTGCAAAGAGGAGGCTGCAGCTCATGGCGGGGCATCGGCGTGGGGGCCACCACAGCAACCCCCCCACCCCCCCCAGGAACACGTCCAGCTCATGGCGGGGCATCGGCGCGGGGGCCACCACAGCAACCCCCCCACCCCCCCAGGAAGACGTCCAGCTCACACCTTCACCTAATTCCAGTAGTTTTGCAATAGATTTGAACTTGCAATCTGCATATATCGGTTTTTAGTTTTCACTTAAAAATCTTATCTGTACAAAAAAATACCTTTGTGTCTCAAAGTGTTTCATTTCAGAGATGAGGCTTTCATGATGTACATGTTTGTGGCAGGATTCTTTGGCTGTTTTGCTCCAGGCGTTTTGGGTTCATTATTACGCACAAAAGGTGGTTTATTTCAATTGTCAAAAAAAAAAGAGAAACATACAATGTGTTGCAGCTCA